TCTCAAAAGAGAAGATTGACACTGTGCTGTACATTTTTTTTTTTTTTTTTTGAGATGGAGTTTTGCTCTTGTTGCCCAGGCTGGAGTGCAATGGTGTGATTCCAGCTCACTGCAACCTCCACCTCCCAGGTTCAAGCGATTCTCCTGCCTCAGCCTTCCTGAGTAGCTGGGATTACAGGTGCCTGCCACCATGCCCAGCTAATCCTTTTTGCATTTTTGGTAGAGACGTAGGTTCTTAACATGTTGGCCAGGCTGGTCTTGAACTCCTGACCTCAGGTGATCTGCCAGCCTCAGCCTCCCAAAGTGCAGGGATTACAAGCACGAGCCACCATGCCAGGCAGTGTCAGATACATTTTTAAAGATTGAGAAACATGTAGCCCCAAGTAAGACCACTTGCTTTTACTTTTAAGAATGATAAATTCTGGGCTGATGTGGTGGCTAATGCCTGTAATCCCAGAACTTTGGGAGGCTGAGGAGGGAGGATCACTTACGCCTAGGTGTTTGAAACCAGCATGGTACACGTGAGACCCCATCTCACTAAAAATAAAAAATTGAATCCAGGTGTGGTGGTGTGCCAGGGTCCCAGCTACTTAGAGGCTGAGGCAGGAGGATCACTTGGGCCTGGAGGTTAAAGCTGCAGGAACCCATGATCACACTCCACCTTCATTACACCTCTGGCCCACAGAGGAGACCCTGTCTCAAAAACAAAATCAAAGGTAAACTGAATGGCAATTTTCCTAGTTCATATATGTTTCATGTAGTTATCTGCAGGTTCCCAAGATAGTTTGAAAACAAAATAATACCTTTTACATTGGCCTGGGTCATTATTCCTTCCCCTTGTTCACGTGACCTCTGCTCCTTTTCTCTGGCACTGAACTAACCAGTACTCCATAGTTCAAATAGGGAATTTTTGTTTTTTAATGTAGCCTAATGTTTGTTTCACAGTTTTTCCAAATACGGAGAGTTGTGCTGATACTGAACAGTTTGCTTTTCGCTTCATGATACTGGTTTGCTGTGATTCATCAGACTCTGACTACTTTAAACAGATAAACAAGAATTTCTAGTTATGTTAAGTTCTCTGTTTCTAAAGCAAGACTCAAAGGAGAAGGCTTATGGTACAACTTATACAAAGGAACTATTATGCAATGTTTGCTTTACTTTCTTTTTTTTTTTTTTTTTTAAGATGGAGTCTTGCCTGTCTCCCAGGCTGGAGTGCAGTGGTACGATCTCTTGCTCACTGCAGCTCATTTCTGGTTCACATTCTTCCTGTTCTCAGCCTCCCGTAGCTGGGACTCACAGGCTCACCACTCACCCTAATTTTTCGTATTTTTTGTAGAGACGGGCTCTGAAATTGTTAGCCAGATGGCTCGATCTCCTGACCTCCTTTTGATCCGCCACCTCAGCCTCCCAAAGTGCTGGGATTACAGGTGTGAGCCACCACACTAGCCAATGTTTGCTTTATCTTCATTCAAGTTTGAAAACATGTAGAAATCTAGATTTTTAAAACAATTTTAAATATTAGAACACTTGGGAATGTACTGTCTTCAGAATATAAATATAAGATATTTCATGTTTCCTTTTTCTTTTCTTTTGTCAGGCATTAAATAAGCATTTGGTCATATTGTCCTAGGGTCTTAAATAAGATTTAGGAAGAAACTGATGGAAGTTAGGCAACTATCCCAGAATCTGCTCCTTGAGGCTTCAAATGAGCCCCAGCCTGGGCTTCTTCAGTTCCTTGGATATAGTGTGTTTCCCCTCCTGGACATGTGGTGCATGAGCTGTCTGGTTGAGCTGAAATATTCTTTCATCTCTTTGGAATTCAGCCTAGATGTTACTTTCCCCCAAGAAAGCCCTTAGAACTTCTCTGCAGGCTGGATTACATTCTGGGCACCCTGAGTTTCTTCCTGTTCACAGAAACATTTGATTTATCATTGCATGGCCCATGGCAGGGATATGTCTAGGTTATTCAGGGCTCTAAGCTGTACTCAGAGCAGAGCACATATAGACACTCAATAAATATCTGTTGGAGGGGTCAACCTATATTAAGTGCTATGCATGCTCAGTCACTCTCAGCATAACCTTGTAGATAATTCCTACTACAGATGAAAAACAGATAATTGGCCAAGGTCAGAGCCAACCAATGACACAATCAGACTTGATTTACGGCCACTTTGATGCCAAAGCCAGTGTTTCATTTTGTCTTTTACTTTCTTTTAATGGCAAGCAGTCATCCCAGTGAAAAAATCCAGTGATTTAAGCATTAAATATATGGATCTCCCTGGTAGGAAGACAGACAGGGTCTGATCCAAATTCAGTGAATCCAGCAACGGGTTTGAGAATGATATTTGTTATGTGCCTCCTATATCCACATTCCTAAATTCAACCCAATGACTCACAACTAAGGAGCATTTAGCAAAGGGAGATCTTTATTGTTTATAACAAGTAAGAGAAGGTCTCAGGACGATATTCCTCAAAGCAGTATCTCCCAGAGCTGAGGGCTCAATGGGTTTTGAGGTTATAGGGTAAGAGGCAAGACCTGAATGATCTTGCCATGAGGTGATGCCGGGAGGCCAGATCTGAGCGGATCCTGCCATGGGTGATACCACACCTCGCCTGATCGGTCTTAATTCAGTCCTCATCCTGGACTATACTTAGCTTGGGTCTTCTCGTGTTGAAAGTTTGTCTAATTAAGGTTTAGGTACATCACCCGAGGTCCATTGGGCAACCTCAGAAAAACAACCTACAACTTTGTTACAGAAAGGTTAAATCAGATTGGTCTGGTATGGCCACAAAAGTAGGCTTGCTTCTTTCTGTCTGGCCTTGTGCCCTGAAGCACGAAGGTCGAGCCATTTCTACCAACTTACTACCCAACAGAGATAGAGGGGAGAAGGTGAGACATGACCCTAGAGATCGTCTGGTTCCTGGGTAACGCCTGAGCCCTGTCTATGCTGTGCCTGAGCTTCTGCCCATGGTTTTCTACCAATTTGAATCAGGAGTCTTTTCCGTTTAAGCCATTTGGGTTGGGATCTATTAAAGGAATCAGTGATTCAACCAGTATAGGACCCAAAAGACACTGGATGTGTTTTGCTTTTTTTTCTTCTCCCTTTGCACAGGCTAGTCGCTTTTCCTAGCTCCCAAAATGATTATGAAATGTGTGTTCTGGGCCCGAGGAGGAAAGGGAGAAGGTGGAGGCAGATGTGAGGATTAAAGGAGATTTCTGGTGGGGAGTCGGGGTCAAGACTTGCTCAGTAATGTGTGGAATGACTGTAAAAACTTCATTTATTTATTTTCTCTACACCTCAGTTTCTCTGAAAAGGACATAATTAATACAACACTTAGATAAGAGGGAATTGATAAGATCAGTGCCTAGGACTTGCACTTTGGAAGCATTCTTTCAACGTGAATGACATTTCACCATTTCAACTCTGTGGCTTTTCCCTATTTCTCAATCACTAGACTGACCAACAGTGAGATGGGTGGATTAAGGAGGTTCCTATTCTGGGGGAGATAAATAGAGAAGGAGATTCACGTTCCAGAGCTTCTAGGAAGCATTAGGTGTGCATTCAACCCTCACTGCGCCAGTAACTTTCATGTTCAAGAGATATTTAAAATAGTGTTTCCTTCTTTCTGCTCTGTGGATTTAACAAATGGGATCTTTAGACTTGAACTTTTTTGCTTTTTTAAAGTAGCCAAACATCACATGATGGACTTGAACTTCTCAAAACCCATTCCGATACTTGTAGGACTGCTTTGTGTAAAATCTATTAGCTGTGTTTATAGTTACCTGACTGTAGAAAGAAAAATTTACATGTTTAAATAGCTAAAATTTCATAATGAAGAAAGTTTCCCAGAGACATTAAGAAAAACAAAGCCAGCAAAGATAAAAACCATATTTCTGTTTCTAATACAAATGAATTTATTGGGTTGATTTGATATTGAAAATAGTACTTTTACAAAATCATCTCAGAAAATATACTACATTCATTAAAATTCATACAAACCATTTGAGTAATATTAAACCCTCTAACCAACCCACTTGTTTCTAGAGGTACTGTGATGATTTCTTTACAGCTTCCATAGTGCAAAGAATAAAGAAATCATCTTCAAACGGGTGGAATTAGATAAGAATAATCCAAAAAATATTTGTTTATTTCTTTACAGACTCACAGGATTGTTTGATGCTCTGTGACTTTACCCAGGGACACTTAATTATTCAAGGTTTTCCTAATTATACTGGCTTTTCTACTGTTGGCAATCTACAATATCTCGCAAAGCATTAAGGAAAATGTACATGGGAAAATGAACCCCAAGAACCTTAACCACCTCAAATAGTTTTATGGATATACTAAAGTATCAAGTACGATCTTTATCTTAAGACTTTAGAACTGGAATGCAGGAAACAAACTTCGTGGAATACTGGAATAAAAGACATATAAAGCTGGGTAAACTAGGTGTGGTAACCTTGTATGTCAATTCCTGTGAAAGCTAGACTAGTGACTCCTAAGAATAACAAATAGTTCAGATTTGTTTTTCAGAAACTTGAGCTATTTTGGGCTGTGGTGCAGTGGCCCCAAGCCTGTAATCCCAGCAATTTGGGAGGTCAAGGTGGGAGAATCACTTGAGCCCAGGAGTTCAAGACCAGCCTAGGTAACATAGTGAGACCCTGTCTCTACTTTTTCTTTTTTTTTTTTTTTTTTAGACAGAGTCTTGCCCTGTGCCCAGGCTAGAGATAATGGCATAACTTGTTCACTGCAACCTCTGCTTTCCAGGTTCAAGAGATTTTCCTGCTCCTGCCTCCAAGTACCTGGGATTACAAGCACCATCACCATGCCTGGCTAATTTTTTTTTTTTTTTTTTTTGTATCTTTAATAGACAAGGGGTTTCGCCATGTTGGCCAGGCTGGTCTTGAACTCCTGACCTCGTGATCCACCTGCCTCAGCCTCCCAAAGTGCTAGGATTACAGGCATGAGTCACCATACCCAGCCCCTGTCTCTATTTTTAAAACACAATTTAAAAGCAAAAAGAAAAAATCTGTGCTGTTTAGACTGGGACTTTTAATTAGCTAGTATTTCTTAATTCAATCAATAAATGATTGAGACCTTTTCACCGCTCCCTTTTCAAAGTCTTCTTTTGAGTGATGTAAGTGCTGCTTATCACCAAGCTCTCAAAGACAAGATGAAATTAAAATCTGATGGGTAACTATTTAAATAAGACAACTGGGGTAACCCATTTCTCCAGGACCCCTCTCTGCAGCAGAGAGCTATTCTCTTTCTTTTGCCTAGTAAACCTCTGCTCTTAACCTTAAAAAAAAAAAAAAAGCAATTGGAAAAAATTTCAAGCCAATGAATAAAACAAGATTTGGGGAGAATGGTAGATGCTAATTATGAAAGTCGACTGTTTCCTTTGAAGGGGGAGTTCAAAGCCGTTTTTTTGATGTGACTTTTTTGGGAGACAATAGAAAATGGCTAAATAGGATATAACATAAACTTTTAAGGACGGAATTCAACTTTACCTAAAAAAGGTTTCAGGCCGGGCGCGGTAGCCTATGTCTGTAATCACAGCACTTTGGGAGGCCGAGGCAGGCAGATCACCTGAGGTCAGGAGTTCAAGACCAGACTGACTAACATGGGGAAACCCTGTCTCTACTAAAAATACAAAATTAGCCCGTGTGGTGACGCATGCCTGTAATCCCAGCTACTTGGGAGGCTGAGGCAGGAGAATCGCTTGAACCCGGGAGGTGGAGGTTGTGGTGAGCCGAGATTGCAGCATTGTGCTCCAGCCTGGGCAACAAGAGCGAAAACTCCGTCTCAAAAACAAAACAAAACAAAACAAAAAAACCTTGAGCTGGGTGCAGTGGCTCACGCCTGTCATCCCTGCACTTTGGGACGTTGAGGCGGGTGGATCGCCTGAGATCAGGAGTTCAAGACCAGCCTGGCCAATATAGTGAAACCCCATCTGTACTAAAAATACAAATTAGCTGGGCATGGTGGTAGGCGCCTGTAATCCCAGCTACTAGGGAGGCTGAGGCAGGAGAATCGCTTAAACCCAGAGGCGGAAGTTGCAGTGAGCGGAGATCAAGCCATTGCACTCCAGCCTGGGCAACAAGAGCAAAACCGTCTCCCCGCCAAAAAAATCAAAAACACAAAAAAATCAAAAATCAAAAACACAACACCCCCCCCAAAAAAAAACCAGTTTCTCTTCTCCCACTTAGCATTTTACATGTAAAACTGAAGCTTTAAATTCTTTGAGCCATTCAGCTCTTAACTGCCAGCTCACACTATTTCACAGCATATCCATAGATATGAGGGCGCACCAGCTCCCAGGACAGCGGGGCCTGGATGTGCTGCAGCTTCAGTTTAGAGAAGCCGGCCCGCTCCAGGGTCTTCCAGCTCTCTCTGGTCAGCCTGCACCCGTCGAACAGAAGGGGCCAGACAGGATCCAGCACTTGCTGCCAGAAGGAATTCCAAGTCGAACGCTCAGCTGCCACATGCTCCATGAAATAAAAAGCCCCTCCCTGAGAAGGAAAGAAAGAAAGAAAAACATTTCAAAGATTTTTTCATTTCTGCTTTTTTAATTTATTTTTTGAAAACTGTTCTCTGGCACTGCCTTGCAAACCTGTGAGAGAACCGTCGAGTTCTGAGCAGGAGAGTCACTCCACACTAAGCTCACCCTTGAGACTGAATAACCATGTTTTTAATTTTTGTGCCAGTTCCACAAATATGTACATTATATGATTAATGAAAATTCTGATTCATCTAAAATCATTACTGAATTCAAGATAACATTTTGTCATTAGGTATTTTATTCAGTCAGTGGATGCTAAATGTAAATTACTGCTTGTAGGAATTAGCAACTGCTCCTTTCATTGAGGAGTCCTATAAATGTTGGTCAAGCACAGGCACAACAGATATTATTACATGTTATGGGTGGGGCCATCTCCAGAAGTTTTCTACCTATCTACCTCTGAGGGGAGTAGGGAGCAAAGGACCAGTCACCTCAAAAAATCGTGGTAACTGCCCTACTCTTCTTGGCCTCCACTAGCTATCCTAGTCTTGGCCCCTCAGGCAGAGTTTACAGACAGAATTCAGTTTAGTGATGGAGTTCCCCCAAGTTATATGAGTAAGTGTAAGACCTATGTTGGGAATAGAAAAATTGGAATTTCCTGATTTGTTTATTATTTCTAGAGACAGGGCCTGGCTCTGTCAACCAGGATGGAATGCAGTGGCACAATCTCAGCTCACTGCAACCTCCACCTCATGGGCTCAAGCAATCCTCCTGCCTCAGCCTCCCAAGTAGATGGGACAACAGGTGTGCACCACCACACCCAGCTAATTTGTTTTTTTGTTTTGTTTTGTTTTGTTTTGTTTTTAGAGACAGAGTTTCGCCGCGTTGCCCAGGCTGGTCTCAAACTCCTGAGCTCAAGTGATCCTCCTGCCTAGGCCTCCCAAAGTGCTGTGATTACAGGCATGAGCCATTGTGCCCGGCCCTGATTTTAAAAAAAAATTTTCATAGGATAGGGCAGCATAAAGGAGGAGAGGCAGGTTTGGGGAGGTCAGTGTTGCCCTCTGGTTTACACATGTTAAGAGGTGCCTCTGAGCTATCCAGGAGACTGCTGAGTAGACAGCTGGATATGCAAGTTTGGGGTCAGAAGAGAGACCTGGGATAGAGGTTTAGATTTGGAAATCATCTGTGTATCTGTGGTATTTGAGAATTTTGGAGGTATATGAGATTGCTGGGGAGTGTATGTAAGTGAAGTGAACCAATGAAAGGAGTTAGCCAGCTTCCTTTAGGCAGACAGTAGGGAAGGGTCCCGGGAGAACTTCTGACCAGTGCCACAAATGCTTACATGAGATGTTTTGTGCAGATAAGGGAACTTGCACAGGGGCTTGCCTAAACATGCCTGCAGTGGACTAAGGGCCCACATGCACGCTGGGGAAATGAGGGTGGAGCCATCGGGAATTCACGCCTTTACAAACAGGGAACCCAGTTCCATCAGCTTTTACATAAAAGCCCTTGTATTCAGTTCAACCTGCTTTCAGGACTCCTCTTTTTACTGAGAGCTTTCTGTTTTGCTTGATAAATTCTACTCCACTCACTCTTCCATGTTCACGTGCCTATTTCTTCCTGGTTGTGAGACAAGAACCCAGACCTAGCTGAGCTAAGGAGCAAAAATCCTGCATCACCAAGAAAGGAACCCCAATGGTAGGAGATAGGTAGAGCAACAAGAGCCAGCAAAAGTGATAGAAATGTTGAAATCAGAAAGATGAAAACCCCAGTAACAAGCACTGTGGTACAGTGGTAAGAATATTTGCATTTGCATTTGGCCGGGCACGGTGGCTCACACCTGTAATCCCAGCACTTTGGGGAGGCCAAGGTGGGTGGATCACTTGAGGCCAGAAGTTGGAGACCAGCCTGGCCAACATGGTGAAACCCCAACTCTACTACAAATATAAAAGTTAGCCAGGTGTGGTAGTGTGTGCCTGTAATCCCAGCTACTCGGGAGGCTGAGGCAGGGAGAGTCACTTGAACCCGGGAGGTGGATGCTGCAGTTAGCCAAGATCGTGCCACTGTACACCAGCCTGTGTGACAGAGCAAGACTTTGTCTCAAAAGAAAAAAAAAAAAAGGAATATTTGCATTTGCATTAAAGAGCCAAATTTACTAGCTGTGTAACTTTGGGCAAATTTCTTAATCTCTCTGAGTCTGTTACTTTGTCCTAACATGAAGATACCTACTTTAGAGGACTGTTGAGAGGGTTAAATGAAAATGTAATAAAGTTCCCTTGTTATATCCAGCAGAGAGTGGGTGCTTGGCAGGAGCTAAGGAAGACTATCATGAATGTGATACCTTTAAGAGGTCAATTGATTTTTGGCACTGTAAAACTGAGATAACAATTACCTGCCTTGCAGCAGTGTTGGGAGATTAGTAATACTGTAAGCAAGACATCTACTAATGTGCCAGTTGGTGTCCAGTCTTAGGATATAAGAACCCAGCATTTGGGTATAAGAATCAGTCCTTTTTTATTTACTACTCTGATATTGAGCCAAAGACAGGATTGTATGACTCCAAGTTCTTTATTCCTGAGGAACTTCCTCTATTAGAAAATAAAACTGAGGGTTGGGCATGGTGGCTCACACCTGTAATCCCAACACTTTGGGAGGCCAAAGTGGGCAGACCACTTGAGCCTAGGAGTTTGAGACCAGCCTGGGCAACATGGCAAAACTTCATCTCTACAAAAATACAAAAACTAGCTGGGTGTGGTGTCACATGCCTGTAGTCCCAGCTACTGGGAGGGTGGGGAGGCTGAGACGGAAGGATTGCTTGAGCCCAGCAGGTCAAGGCTGCAGTGAGCCATGATTGTGCCACTGCACTCCAGCCTGGGCAACAGAGGGAAACCCTGTCTCAACAAAAAATAAAAACTGGGATTACAAAACATGCCTTTCCCCCAGAATAGTAAATTCAAATGTTAAGATATCCATATCTTCAACTTTGTTCAGAATATAAAATGATTTTAAACTAGCTAAAAATAATAAGGGTAATATGTGAAAACTACATACAGGTATAAAGAATTATAGACTTCGGGCCGGGCGCGGTGGCTCAAGCCTGTAATCCCAGCACTTTGGGAGGCCGAGACGGGCGGATCACAAGGTCAGGAGATCGAGACCATCCTGGCTAACACGGTGAAACCCCGTCTCTACTAAAAATATACAAAAAACTAGCCGGGCGAGGTGGCGGGCGCCTGTAGTCCCAGCTACTCGGGAGGCTGAGGCAGGAGAATGGCGTGAACCCGGGAGGCGGAGCTTGCAGTGAGCCGAGATCCGGCCACTGCACTCCAGCCTGGGCGACAGAGACAGACTCCGTCTCAAAAAAAAAAAAAAAAAAAAAAAAAAAAAGAATTATAGACTTTATGGAAAGGTTTAACATGAAAAGTAATTCTTTCCCTGAATCCAATCCCATTCCCAAAACGTAACCAATGTTAATAGTTACTTGTCTATCATTCCCATTAACATATACACATACATGTATATCCTCTCTCCCCCTCACAAAAGGCATGCAGTGGGCCTATGCTCTACCTAACATTCTGTGGCTTGATTGCTTTTTGTTTTCATTAAAATATTATCTCTTGGGGATTTTTAAGTATCAGCACAGATAACTCTTCTTCTTCTGACAGCTGCACAGTGTTCCTTTATACAATATGACAACTCACTTACATAGCATCCTATTGATAGACATTTCAGTTATTTCCAGTTTGTGCTATTACAAATGCTACTTACTATTCTTGTGTATGGACAAGTTTTTGCATGTGAGATAAGTTTTTGCATGTGGATAAAAGAGTATGTGTATGTGTGCTTTAAATTTTGATATTAGATATCATCCAAAGAGGGTACTTCTAATATGTATGGGGGTGTCCAGTCCCCCAAACCCACCCCAACACTATATACTGACCTTAAAAAAAGTCCCTAACGGTATAATAGGTAAAATTAGTATCTTCCTTTAATTAACTCTTTAAGTTTGAGCACTTTTTGTCCTGTAATTGGTTTATATTTCTGTTCCTGTTATTTGCCATTTTCCCTTTTGTTTTTCTTATTGAAAAAATATTGTTCTTATTGACACGTAATGTCTTTTAACATGAGAGAAGTTAACCCTTTGTCTATCATCCCTTGCAAATATTTTTTCCAAGCTTGTTTTGTACTTTAACTGTTTTTGGGAGTTTTTTTTCTTTTTCTTTTTCTTTTTTTTTTGAGACGGAGTATCACTCTGTTGCCTAGGCTGGAGTGCAGGGGCGCAATCTCGGCTCACTGCAACCTTTGCCCCACCAGGTTCAAGCGATTCTCCTGCTTACAGGCGCCTGCCACCATGCCTGGCTAATTTTTGTATTTTTAATAGTGATGGGGTTTCACCATGTTGGCCAGTCTGGTCTCGAACTCCTGACCTGAAGCGATCCGCCTGCCTCAGCCTCCCAAAATGCTGGGATACAGACGTGAGCCACCGTGCCCGGCCAGGAGTTTTTTTCTTTATAGCAGTTTTAAGTTTTATATTGAGATTTATCAATCTTTCTCTTTATAGCTTCTCTCCCACTCTAGGATTTCTAAAAATTCTACAGTCTTTTCTAGTAGTTTACTTTTTATGTTAAAATTGTTTCTGCCACCTAAAATCAACAGGCCTGCCCTTTGTGGTAATGGCTGCTACTAACCAGTCCTCTTCACACCCTTTCACTCACCGGTCTCAGCACTCTGCACACCTCGCGGAGAATCTGCTCCTGGTTCTTCACAGAGCACAGCACCAGGGTGCAGACCACCACGTCCACAGAGCCATCGGCCACCTGGTGCATGTTCTCCCCGGCAGCTATCACAAAACGCTCAAACTGCAGGTGTCGGTTCTCTGCAATGCTCTTGATCAAAAACTTCTCAAAGTTGGGGTTGGGGTCAATACAGGTCACCCTGCATCCGGGTGGGTAGAACCTGAAGTTGGCCCCCGTGCCGCAGCCCACCTCCAGCAGGGAGAGCTTCCCGGAGGGGCCCGCAAACTCCTGCAGGTTGCCGAAGAGCTCCCGCTTCTTGCTTGCCATCTGTTCGTTGTACATCACAGTGAACCTTGCCAAGATGTAGGGGAAGCATTTTTTGCATATCCGGCTCCACAAGCCCAGAAAATTCAGCAGGTACATGGGAAATGCCAGGATGTAGATGGCCAGTCTCAGGATAAAGATGGTAAGCTCCATTGCTCAGAAGGAGGGAAAAAAAAAAAAAAAAAACCAAACAGATCAACAGTTAGAGACCCGACTCCTTTAATTGCGGGAGAGAGGCTTCTGGCCACACTCCAGAGCCAATCAGCTGCAGAGGAGAAAAAGAACGGGCTGTGCTGGAAAGTCAAAGCACGGGCAAGAGGCCTGTTTTGCCTAATTAATAGATGTTTGGCAGCAGTCGATTCAGCTTAGTTTTCATGAAGCAAAATGAGAAGATTCCCAGCGTTTCCTCAGAAGGAAAGTTGATTATAATCCTTTATTCCTAATCGATTCCTGTTTCCCCTTCTCCGGGTTTGGAGACGACTGCTAGCTTCCTGCTAGTTTTGTAAGCACAGTGTACTTACACCCCACCGGGCTCTCCAGTCACCTCTAAAAGAAAACAGAATTCGTGGGTGGAGCCTGGTCAAACGACACCAGAAGACTGCTGCCAAGCCCTTTATCATAACACAACCCCCTTACTTTCCCCGCCCAAACCCGGTTTTTTTCTAAAAAGGGAAGTGAAAGGACATGCGTGCCCGGCCGCAGTCAGCAAGAATTCTCCCTTTTACCTTCTGGGCAGAGGCTCTCAGTGTTCATAACTCAACAACAGGATTATTTTTGTAAACCAAAAATAATGTTCTAAGGCCCCCTAACCATCTGAATGGACTTTCTCCTTGGCCAGGGTGCTCTTAAAATGTAACTTGAGAGACTGGTTCAGGCCATGATGGGAAGTGGGGATCAGACATGCCTCATTATACCTCTCCAGCGTTAACATCAATGCAGACCTTAAGTACACTTACAGTCTCTTCTCTCTGAAGCCTGCTACTTGGAGGCTTCATCTGCATAATAAAACTTCAGTCTCCACAACTCTTATTGCAACACAGACATTTCTTTTCTGTTGATCCCAGGTCTTTAGATAAACTCAACCAATTGTCAACCAGAAAAATTTAAAGCCTACCTATAACCGGGAAGCTCCCCGCCTTGCGTCGAGTTGTCCTGCCTTTCTGGACCGAACCAATGTATTTCTTAAATGTGTTTGATTGAAGTCTCATGTCTCCCTAAAATGTATAAAACCAAGCTGCCCCCCACCACCTTGGGCACATGTGCTCAGGATTTCCCGAGGGCTGTGTCATAGGACATGGTCACTCATATTTGGCTCAGAATAAATATCTTTAAATATTTTACAGAGTTTGACTCTTTTTGTTGATATTTTAAAACCACTGTGTTGGGCTGTACTCCCCCTTTTAAAACAATTTTTTGGCTGAAGGAAGTCAGTTTGTGGACTGCTCTTCTTTTAAAGGACAAGCCTCCGTCTTCAAAATGTGCCTAACTACTCGATTACTCCGCTGATTTGGATAAAAATATTCTCCAGAATATTCACATTTGGGAGCCAAAGGCATTCAGAAAATAGTTTCAAGCATCCATCTGCTTTTTACAAGAAAGCCTGAATCTGGGCACAGTGGTGGGTGCCCATGGTCTCAGCTACTGAGGAGCTAAGACAGAAGCATACCTTGAGCCCAGGAATTCAAATCCTGCCTGGGCAACATAGTGAGACCCTATCTCTCAAAAAAAAAAAAAAAAAAAAAAAAAAAGAAGAAGAAGAAAAGAAAAGAAAAAGCCTGAGCTTTAGGGTGGTTAGGGAACACAGAAAAAAAATATTTTTTTAAGTAGTAATATTTACTTTAAAAAACTGGGTGGTGGATACAGGGAGTGTTCTGCTGTTTCATGATTTGTTATAACTTGCATGTATTTTATAAATATTGTATCTATTCCATTTTTAACAGCTTTTTTGAGGTGGAATTGATATATAACAAACTTTACATATTTAATGTGTCCAGTTTGATAAGTTTTGGAATATCTATATACCCATGAACCCATCACTTCAGCCAAGATAAATGAACATATTAACATATCCATCACCTCTAAAAGATTCCTCTTGCTCCATTGTGATCCTCCCTTCTGCATTCCTAATCCTGAGGCAGTCAGTGGCCCATTTTCTGTCTGTGGCCTGTTTTCTGTTTTTTTTTTTTTTCTTAGTGAACAGCAGCAAGATTTACTGTGAAGAGCGAAAGAACAAAGCTTTCACAGTGTGGAAGGGGACCCGAGCGGGTTGCCCTTCTGTCTGTTTTTGAGCAACTCTACAGGACTGGAAGATTCTAAAGCCCTCAGCAAAGGAAAATGAAAGTAATTTTGTAGAGAATTTAATTATTCTTTTTAAAATGGAAAGGCCTATGGCCACAAAGTTTGCTTGTAAGAAAAGTACCAAAGTAACCCCCAGACATAATCATTAACAAAATTAAAATACTTTTGGGAACCTACCTGACTGGACAACTTTGCCATTCTCCAGCTATAGATATGTCCTTTTACAAATCAGACCACCTCATTATCTTTCTGGTGACACACTCTTTTCTTTTTTTCTTTTGCACTTATCTTTTGTTTTTGTTTAGGGAAACAGCCTGAATGTTGCTCCTAACAGCATTCTGGAACTCTTAGCAAAGAACAATCCCTGGGTCACAAAGCCCAGCTGAGACAGATGAAATTGAATTGTTAGGCTGGGCGCCGTGGCTCACACCTGTCATCCCAGCACTTTGGGAGGCCAAGCAGGCGGATCACTTGAGGCCAGGAGTTTGAGACCAGCCTGGCTGAGGCATGAGAATTGCTTGAAGCTGGGAGGTAGAGGTTGCAGTGAGCCGAGACTGTGCCTGTGCACTCCAGTCTGGACAACAGAGTGAGATGAGACTGTCTCACAAAAATAAAAATGAAATTGAATGGTCAAATCAAATAATAGAATACTTAATTTTCAAAAAGCCCTACAAAACAAATGTACTACTGATACATACAACAACAAAAATTAATCTTACAGATTAAAGGAAAAAAGTACATACTGTAGCATTTTATTTACATGAAATTCAAGCAAACTGACTTATATAGACATTGTGGGGTTATTGACTTAGAGGCCACAAAAGAGCTTTCTAAGGATATTGGAAATGTTCTATACTTTGATTCTGTTGGAAGTTAAACAGATATGTATATACACACCCATACATATATATGTAAAAATGTATCAAGCTATACGCTTAACGTTTGTGCACTTATATGTAAATTTATATCAATGAAAAAAAGTAATAAGACTTCAAGAAAAAAAGGACATAATAGGAATAAAAGGGCACATGTACAGATACTATAGCAAAATTTATATGAGAATACTAGGCACAACTTTATGCTAATATGTTTGAAGAGTTGGATAAATTGAATAATTTCCTGCAAAACTGCAAATACCATAATTGATTCAAGAAGACATAGAATATCTGATTAAACTACTACCATTAAAGAATCTAGACTGGTAGTGTGTATGTCTTCACTCCCGTGTCACGATTTCCAGAGTTATCAGAAACGTGCGTGTGAGAGCACCTGTTGAAGTCCTGTAGCTGATTGTAAGCTGTCTTTTGAAGAAGGTTAAAACAAGACAATTGTCTGTGAATGATAAAATTTCTAGGGTAGTTACAGTTAAAAACACGATTGACAAATTTGGTGATTTCTGTGGTTTACAATGGTTTAACATAACCTTAATTTTGATTGATAGCATGTACTCAGACATTGGGATTTTAGACCTCCCATACAATTTTGGAACACATATCAATAGTCACTAAACTATAACCTGAAGAAGATTAAGCATCATTTTGGCAATTCCACATACCTAAGCATGTTAAATAATCCTGTTTACCTCTCTTCTGGAGGCTTCAGGGGCCCTCGGCAGCATCGAACAGCTAGGGGGTCAGGAAAGACAATTTTGAAACTGAAGTTTGATTGTGAAAAGTTAAATGTTAGAGGTTTAAAACACTTGATATTATGAAATACAGTTCCAGGTCACCATAAGTTATTTAATTTGCCAAAATGATGACTCAAAAATTTTAAAATAAGGCAAAAATCTTGACTCATTAAGAGGGAAGACTTAGCTTTCCAAACAGTTTGCCTCGTGTCTTCTTTCCTCTTCTTCGTAGTCTGTCCACCGGGCAAATGAAAATCTTTCATTATTCTTCACTGTTACATGAAAATCTTATACAAGGGAGAGAAAACAAGATTTTACCCTTACATTGGTTTCAAAACAATCCTTTATCCCTAGGCAATATTTACATTTCCATGCGTTTTTATAATCTTTTACCACAAACACATTTTACTGTTCTTACACACCTTGCATGTAAATCTATTTTCAGTAGTCTCATTTACATGTTATAATGGTAACTCTTAGCAATTTTTAACTTTAAAACTTGGTAAGTTGTTTTAATTATGTACTGGGTGCAGATAAAGTCCGACTTCTTCCAGTATAGTCAGGGGCGTGATTAATTTTGTATGTCCCTAGGCCTTACAGAGTTGTAAAGCAGACAGTTTACAACCTTGAAACATTTAGCAAACCTGGTGTCTGACTTAGTTGATTTACACCTATTTACATTTTGACGACATTTGTACCAATTATCTTTAAAACTATTTTTATTTCTTAAAGTCATGTGAACTAAAAGATAGCTTTTATCTTTTCTTTAAAACATATTTAAGTGCTTATTTTTCTTTAAGTCAATCAGAACTCTATAGACATCATACACAACACACATGTAGCTACACAGACAAACAGAGGATCTAGTCATTATAAGATTTTTCATTTGCCAATCTTCTAATTGGATTATTGGCCTCCAAGTGGGGCCCTTTAAGAGCAGGGCTAGGAGAGTGAAATGGTTACATTGTCTGGGTATATACACTGGGGTTCATTGTCTCAGGCCAAGAAAAAATTCAGGATACAGGCACATGTGGGTGGGTTAAAGAGTGGAAAGCCTAATAGAAGACAGGAGAGAGGAGAGTAGCTCCTTGAGAGAAACAGAGACAGAGAGAGAGAGAGACATCTGAAAAAAGTGGGTAGGTGGCAGACCGCAGCAGATATTATAAGCAGGCTGGAGAAGGCGGTGACTGATTTACGTAGGGCTCACAGATTGGTTTGATCAGGTATGACATTTACATAGCACGCAGGGAAGGCTGGCTGCCCTACCCTAATCTTACGCAAATGGGCTTTCTCGTTGCTCGGCACCAGAAGGGAAGATGGAACCACCCTCTTGAACATGTCTAGTCTGTAGTTCCTACCGACATTCACCTGTGCAAGCTCCCAGCTTTCTTGTCTATGTCTGCAGCTCGACTTTACAGGCTGTTCTTTCTTAGAAAATGATTTGGGGCTGATTTCATTGAAGAGAAAAGCCTTACCGAGGGCTCCCATACCCTTACTCTCTGCCTATGTGAATTCTTCTTAACTCCTATATCAAAAGCATGCAGTTTCTGGGGAAGAATAAAACAGATTTTGAGAGGGATCTGTCTGCCTCTGATTCCTGGGGTTCCATGAGGAAAACAGAGGTTTCTCCCCAAATGGAATCCATGGAGCCTTTTCTGT